GGACCGTAAAGTCCATGGTATAAGTGGGTGGAAAGGCTAATGATAAATATGTCACTTAAACAAAATTATTAATAATAATAATTTGTTTGATAGTAATAATACTGTATTAATATTACTTTTATTTATTATGATTAACATAAATTAAATAAATGGAATGTTAAGTAAGTTTGATAAAAATCTATGTAAGTAAAATCTTTATAGTGCGGAATTGATTTAATCCATTTGAGTGACATTAACTTGATTGAATATTATGAAATACAAAATTGTTAAGTGCCTAACAAAGTATATCATGATGACTTAAATAGTTAATAAAATAATACTACTTAAGCCTATTAGATTAATAAATAATATAAATACAACTCGAATGCTATGCACAAGTCATTTACAAAAGCTGGCAAAAATTGTGCACATGTTATATAAAAGTTATACAATATTCATAATTATATTAATTAATAATGCAATGTAAATGTATGAACTATTAAATATTTACCACAATTATTAAAATAAAATTAACTTTATTATGATTGTTACAGTATATCTATTGGCAATAATTATCATCATAAACACTAGTCTTGGACAATCAAAACTGTGCCCTGATGATATCGAAATCAAATTACCATGCAAGTACAGAATAGATGAAGGATATTGCGATATTGAATGCACCGGCAGCGAAAGCTTTGATGTAAAAGCCATATTCAGAGATTTAAACAATAGGCTACCCATTGATAAGAAACCTTTTCGACAATTTAGTCTATCCAACACGGCAATAGACGAACTACCTGCCAACGCCCTAGGTGGCATACAGTTTCAGGAAATTTACATTCAAAATGCAACTAAATTACAGCGTATAAACGGCGCCGCGTTTGATGGCACTGCTGAAATCATAACCACAGTTGACATAATTAACACCCCGATCAGTGAATTGGCAACAAACGGATCGGACCTGTTTGGCGCTATTGACACGTTAAGTGGGTTGCAGTCATTATCATTTACCCAGACAGTTGTCAAAACGTTACCCACCATGAGTTTCTCAGGGCTTAACGCCTTGGTCGAAATATCAATTAATATTAATCCACTAAGCTCAATAATGACTAACGCGTTTAATAATCTACCTGCGTTCAATGTCCTGACCTTCAAAGATAGTCCCGTAGAACATGTGGCCGCACAGGCGTTCACAATCGGCCACAACACTACTGAACAAAGTCTAGAAATATCATTCACTTCGCAACCCAACGATCCGTTCGACAACCGGTCGTTACTTACCATCGGCTGCGCGACTACTATAAGGCTGGGTAAGGGATCCATGAAATATTTGGATCGCAATAAATTTGAAGCATTTTTCGACGAAAATGTAAAAAATAAAGTGATTGACGAAAGTGTCGATTGCGTCGATAGTCGTAACCAATGGATTAAAGAGAAATATTTTTACATTTGGAATGATTTTAACTGCAAATATGATACGTGTCCTACTGGCGTTCCTATTAAATCACCATGCTACTACCTGGACACCATCGCGCATTGCGACATTTATTGCATGGGTAGCGAAAATTTTAATATAAAATCAATATTGTTTGACTTAAACGAAAGGTTACCAATAGATAGGAAGCCATTTCGACAGTTATTTATAAACAACACGGCCATCACTGAACTGCCGGCCAACGCGTTTGGTGGCATACAATTTAGCTCGGTGTATATTGACACAGATCAATTAAGCCGTATAAACATGGCCGCATTTGATGGCACAGCGGCCACTATTGCCGAACTGTCAATTAATGGTACCTGGATCACCGAGAAGGTCACAACCGACTCAAACCTGTTCGGTGCAATTCACACGTTGAAGGCGTTACAGGTTCTACGGCTGCGACAAACGCAGGTCAAAAATTTACCATCAATGAGTATATCGGGCTTAAAGAATTTGCGCTATATATATTTTGAGAATAATACTCTAGACACAATAAGTAGCAACGCGTTTGACTATTTGCCCTCGCTCATCATGTTGCAATTCAATCAGAAAAACATAAATAAGGTGGCCGCACACGCGTTTACAATTGGCCGCAACGCTACTGATCAACATTTAGATCTAATATTCAATGATCTAGATAAAGACCCTTTTGGGCAACAGTCGTTGGAATCGATCGGATGCGTCACTACTATTAAGTTTGGCTATTATGACTATGGTGAGTTACATCAATTATGGTTTGAACCGTTTTTGGCAGAAAATGTCCATAATACATTGATAGACGAGTCTATACAGTGCAACAATGAGCGAAATCAATGGATTAAAAATAAATACCCACACGTTTGGAAGGATTTAAAATGCAAATGATTTTAATCATTTTTAATTACAAAATTAATAATTTAATTAATAATTTAAATAACTATAATTAATGTGTAATTAGTTATTCTATTGTAATGTATTCTATTATACATTAAAATAACGCAATAAAAACATTAATTAGTATTATAATTATTAATAAAAATTACATTTAATACGAGATGTGCAATAAAGGTTAAGGTACTGGAGAAGTGGAGATGGTGGGAAAATAAACAGGTTTGCGATTTTAAACCATTTAATTACAACTACATTTAATTATAATCTTATTAAGATAAAACAAGATTTTACGTGAAACAACCGCCAGGGAAACAGATCTAGAAATAAAATAAACTATTAATACATTAAAGTAATTACATCTAATATTAACTATTAAATATAGAAATGATTAGTTTGTAAAGCAATTTATTTTTATTATATTTTTACGAAAAGGAATTTATACATTTTCTCGTTTTATAAATGTTTTATTATTCAACTTAAATTTTTAAACATTTTGTTTATAAATAATTACAAATAATTTTATTTGTTTAACTAATTATTATGGCTAACAGAAAAAGGCAAAAAGAGGGCATATTCTCAAAAATGTTTTTATATGTGTTTAGTATTATATGAATAGTGTATGTTTTTTCATTCATTGACTAATTTATCATTTTGATTAATCTGTATATTAAATGAATCATCAAGTGTTAGCCTTACTAATTATAGATATTATGTTATTAATAATAATATTTATCAACTGAAATAAGTTATTTAGTTTTAAAACATTTATTAATGTTTCTTAAATAATTAATTACAAAACATAAATATAATATAATGTATAATTATACTAACAATAATAAATTAAATAAATATTTATATAATTAATTAAATTAATTTAAGCATCGATTTCATCAATAGTGAGAAATCCGTCGCGATTTTTATCCATCAAATAAAACTCATACTTCATATCCTTATTAGCGGCCAAACCCTCGGTTGAGACATAACTAAGTGTCTCCACATATGAAGCCCTGCCGTCTCTATCGGCGTCCAAACGGACAAAAACTTGCGTAACATTATTGACGGTCAGGGCGTTAGTTGTGGTCAAACCATTGGTTGTACAGCCGGACGCTATGTTCCAACACCACATGCCTGAGTGACCAGCCCTACAGCCACCGTCGCAATTGCAACCAAATACGTTGCAGTCGCCCACGCCGCAATATGTATTGGCCTCGGTACAATCGTAGCATGTGCGACCTTGGTCAGGGCAAGTTATCGGCGCGTGACAGCATTCAGCGGCCGATTGATCGACATTAATCATCAGTACGACGGCAGCCAATAGAATTGCAAGATTTAAAGTTGAGTTTATTGTGTTAATGATTGGTGTTTGGTTTTAAAACTCGACCTAGATCATATAAATTAATTGTAATTGGCCTACAATGTTAATTGTAATTACATATAAATAAAATTTTTATAATAAAATATTTTTATTTATACTTACAATTTAATTATTATTTAATTATGGTTTGTTAACTGTTATTAACTTATTATACTTTTTTACGAACTTGCTCAGCTATATTTATACTATAATTAATCTGCATTAATCTGTAACGATTTGTTATGTCATATCAATAATGCAATACTTATTTGTGAGAAAAAATTCAAGTGTTTTTTACCTATTACATTGAAAGTCTGCAAAATTAAATTCAACATAATATGACGTTTAATATAAAACTACAATGTGCAAGATTTTATTATTAAATTACTTATGTTTGTATAAATTTTTGTAACAATTAGCCAATTTCTAAATCCAAACACATTGTTCATTTTTAAATATAATTTACAAAAATATTTAAATATTCTACCATTATAGCATTACTGTATTAATTGTGTTTTAAGCGGTTAGATGTGTTATGTAATTATGATTTTGACATACCTGGCAACTATGTTTAGTCAAACTTATCTATTATGGATTAATTGTTATAACTTTGTATATTATAAAACACGCTTAAGTTTAATTGATAAAGGGTATTTTATACATTTACATGTATTTTGTTTTTTACCGATTATAATAAAGTATAATTTATTTTTAAAATACTAGTAATTACAACCATACATGTAAAATTAATATCATTCAAATCAATGATTAAAATATTTCTATTGTAATTGCAAAACGGAACTAGTAAGTTTTTAAATCACTAATATAGAAATTCTTAAGTTAATAAAAGTATTTATAATTTTTTGTAAGTTGTAATTAATAGTATTTTAAATTTTACAAATAAACAAATTAGTCATGAATTAATAATTAATATAATTAGATTTATTGATGATGATGCTTTAAAAAAACAATTCTATGAGCAATTGTACTGTACATATAAATAATAAAATAACATATTAAATATTTTATATTACATGCAAAATAAAATTTTTAATTTGCATTACATTATGATTCCCGTCTAGTGTAAATATTCATAATTATGTAACCTTGTATTTCACGTTTCTTATAAAACCTCATATAATAATGCATGAAAAATCATTTTAATTTTTCATATTAATTAAAATACAACAAAATAATAATTCAAATTAAAGTTTTAAAACATTTATTAAATGTTTGTTAAATAATTTAATTATAAACTATAAATACTAACAATAATAAATTACAATAAATATTGATATAATTAATTTAATTAATTTAAGCATCGATTTCATCAATAGTGAGGAATCCGTCGTGATTTTTGTCCATCAAATAAAACTCATATTTCATATCCTTATTAGCGGCCAAACCCTCGGTTGAGACATAACTAAGTGTCTCCACATATGAAGCCCTGCCGTCTCTATCGGCGTCCAAACGGGCAAAAACTTGGGTAACGTTATTGACGGTCAGGGCGTTAGTTGTGGCCAAACCATTATCTTTACAGCCCAATGCTATGTTCCAACACCACATGCCTGAGTGACCAGCCCTACAGCCACCGTCGCAATTACAACCCACAGCATTGCATTTGCCCACGCCGCAATATATGTTGGCTCCGGTACAATCGTAGCATGTGCGACCTTGGTCAGGGCAGCTCAACGGTGCGTAACAGCACTCTGCGGCCGATTTGTCGACATTGATCATTAGTACTATGGCAGCCAATAGGGTAGCGAGAGTAAGCGCTGAGTTCATTATGCTTAATTATTATTTGCGTTTAAAACTTGAGCTAGATTACATACAGTAAAATAAAAATAATTATTTTTTATTGCACTAAGTTAAAAACTTTATTTTATGAATACTTACAGATTAATAAATAGTTAATAATTGTTTTAACTTATTGTTATTTTGTTATACTTTTCTAATGACTTGTGTAGCTTTATTTATACTAGAACTAATCTCAATTAATTTCAACAATTACTTATGTCATATCAATTGTGCAACATGTATTTGTGAGAAAGTTCAAGGGTTTTCATTATAATTGTCACACTATTGAACTGCAAATATAAATTGTTATCAAATATGACGCTGATTCTAGAATGACCATTCTCAGTTTCATAAAAAACTACATTTAAATAAACAATTTTAAATTTCTTTAATAAAAATTAATATGTATATCTTGAGATATTTAATTTAATTTATTCTATAGTTTCCAAAATTAGTTTTTTAAAACAAATTTTTAATTATTTATATTTGAAATTTTATGTCATTAACTGTTATAATGTTATATGAAATTTAACTACCTGTCAACTCTATTATTTTTATTTAAAGAGTTTTTATCATTTTAATCGAAAGTTAAATATTATTACGTTATCAATAAATAATTACTTAATTATTGGCAACATTTTATAATTATAACCAATTATTAACATTACAATTAATAATAACAATGTTCATATTTTGTTTAATAATTAATTTTTATAATTAATTACAGATTAGATTAATAATTACTTTTTAATATTATTTGTAAATACATATTTCTGAAATAAATATATTTTTAAAACTCAATTTATATTTTATTGACTGCATTATTTAATTTAAATAATATATTTGTAATTGTTATATTACACAAGCTGATTTTAATCACACTTTAGCTAACGTATGATCATTAATCTACACCTACTTTACAAATACATAGTAATGCTATAGAAATTTTATTGAAGCCACAACAATTTTTTGACAAAATATTATATTACATAATAAGCAATAACTAATATGTTATATTATTATTTTGTATTTTACATTTTAATATTAAATATTTAAATGGAATAGAAAATTTATTTGAAATTTAAGCAATGTTTTATAATTATTTGTTAATGCCTTTAAATTAAATAATATATGAAAAGGCCTTATAATTTATTAATAATTAAATTTTTTGAATTGTAAAATTATTAACAACTTTGTAATAAATTGTATATTATATAGAATATATATATAAGAAGAAAATTCTACTTTTTATATGTAAAAATAAAAATAATAATTATTTTTAAAAAATATAATAATAATTGTATAAAAAGCGTTCATTTATGTCAAACCATATTTGAAATTTTTAAATTAAAAAACCAAATATTAATAAAAAGTTTCATTAAAATAATGTGTTTTAATAAGTATTTTAAGTAACCATTTTAATTGTCCACTAAAACTATGGCAATCAAGCTCGCAATACCGATCACAATGTTGATTGTGGTAACATTGTGGTTGACAGAGGTGCAATCACAAGGACGCAGTAACAACCGTAATAGGCAACAGGGTAATAATGGGCAAGATCAAACAACACGGGACCGGCAGCGGGATAGCGATTCGAGTAAACCGTTGCCCGTTTGGATTCATCATAAAAATAATATTAAATTAATAGCAGCTAGAGAGAATTGCGCCGACGAACAATGTCCTCCTCGAAAAATATGCTATTATAAAGCATTTGGAAATAAACCGCTTTGCAGCGATAGAAGTAGATTAAATGGTAAAGATTACGATATGTTTAATGACGACATGAATGACCAAACAACAAATAATAAAGTGCATGATAACAATGATGACAAAAATGGACCAACATCAAACCATGATGACAATAATGGATCAGGTTCAGACCATGATAACAGAAATAGACCAAGATCAGGCCATGATGATAATGATGGATCAGGGTCAGACCAGGATGACCGACCAGAATCTCCAGGACGACAATCAAGGAGAGGCAAAAATAGTCGTGGTAAGTAATAAAACAAAAACTCGCGATCGGGAAATGACCTATCATTATTATTAGATGATGAAGACTACCCAGACCAAACATCGGGCAATAAACGTAAGATGTGGGTGGACCAACGGATTACGCCTATTCTAGCTACGAGTTATTATGAAAAGGAGTGCGACATTGAAAAATGCCCGGATATATGCTATTTTTTAGATGGTAAATATAAAGATGACCCACAATGTGGCACATCTAAAGAATTACAGCGTAAGAGTAGACTATGGAAAAAATATAACGATGCAGATGATGACAGAAATGATGACAGAAAAGACCAGGATGGTGACAGTGAAAATGACCAAGGAACAATACGGCCCAAAAATGGTAAATCTAGAAATGGCGAGCGATCACGCGGAGGCCGCTTCGATGATAATGGCAAAACTGGCCAAACAAACAATCGTAGTCATAGACGAGAATGCAACCAGGACGAGAATAAGTATAAATATAAAGTTGCAATCAGTCACCAACACAACAAAAAATTTTTGCACCGCAAGGAAGCGATATTTAAAAAATGTAGATCAATGTTTGGAACAAAAGAAAAACAATGTTATAATGCAAGGCAGGTATGTTTTTTTATTTTGAGAAATTATGAACAGCACGAATGTTGGAACGAAGGATATTTTCGATTACAAAAATTTACGTATTTTAAAATTTCACCTGATCATGACTCTCCTGATTACTGCGAACTCCCGGGTATTCGAAGTGGGTAGCATTATGTTTGTTAGTAAACATTGTAAATTGCTCACTTGCAATCTAAATTTATATTTTTTAATAAAATGTTTTTATTTGTAATTTTTTGTTTCATTTATAATGATATATTTGTTACGCGCCAATAGAGTCCAGAATATTCTGTTGGCGTATTCTAGAGTTCTGGAGCCTAACACTGAATATAAGCTATAATATATTATTCTTGACTAAATGAGCAATCTTAATTCAATAAAAAATAAAATGTTTATTTTTCCAAATATTAAGTGTATTTTATTATGAAATATAAATCCAATAATTTAAACTTATAATTTCTATACTTTAATAACTAATACTATCTAACCATTAAATATAACAATGATTAGTTTGAAAAGCGATTTTACTTTATTTATTATTTTATATTTTTATGAAAATAATATTCGGTAAAGAACTTACTTTTGTATGAGAACTTCGTTAGAATTAGCTCTCTCTCTAGGCTGGCCAACTGTCCACTATTTGAGTGGACAGTCCACTATTTTGGGTTTGTGTCCACTAAGAATTGAGACCAAATAGTGGACATTGAATTACCAAATATTCGATTTTAAGAAATTTATAATAATTTTGATAAAAATAACAAAAATAATTATTAAATAAGGTTATTTTCTTATTAAAAATAAAATAATTTATTATTAGCAGGTACTAATAATGTTCACATGAATGAAATACATTGTTATTTATAAATACATATATTTATCTACTAGTTTAGAAGCTAAATTGACCTAAAAGTAGAGCTAAAAAATATGTCCACTATATGTCCACTATTTTTACCATATTTCTGAGCAAAATATAGCAATTGTCCACTATTGAAAATTTTTGAGTTGGCCAGCCTATCTCTCTCTCTCTCTCTCTCTCTCTCTC